AATCCAATTCAATTTCCCTCACCCGTGAAAACGAATTTCATGTTTTTTTTTTTTTCCATTTGGGAGGACAAAAGGTGTTTTTTTTAAAACAAATAAAGAAAGAGAAACTTCATTAATTTGTAACCAGAACAATTGGAAAGAAAAAAGATATATTTAATCATATACTCATTCTTAGCATTAATACTATAAATAAACCATGCACCATTTAATTTCTATAAGCAAACTCAAAAAGAACCCAAAAATTGACAGCTGGCCTTATTGAATTTAATTTTGATTATTAAATTACTTTGATGCCCTATTGAGTGTTTTGGGTTTTTTTTTATAAGGTTTTGGGGTTGAGTTTATTTTAAAAAATCAATGGCAGTTTTGTAATTCAAAAGAAGTTAAAAACCTTTTTGTTATGTTGTAAATGAGTTTTTGGTGTTTTTCTAAAGTTCTAATTTGTAACCAGAACAATTGGAAAGAAAAAAGATATATTTAGTCATATACTCATTCTTAGCATTAATACTATAAATAAATCATACACCATTTAATTTCTATAAACAAACTAAAAAAGAACCCAAAAATTGACAACTGGCCTTATTGAATTTAATTTTGATTATTAAATTACTTTGATGTCCTATTGAGTGTTTTGAGTTTTTTTTATAATGTTTTGGGGTTGAGTTTGTTTAAAGAAATTAATGGCAGTTTTGTCATTTATAGTTAAAAGCTTTTTTGTTGTGTTATAAATGGACTTTGGATGTGTTTTAAAAGTCCATTTCATAAAGGGTTTTTTAACAATTTCAGCTCCTATACTGGGTATAATAATGAATCTCCCAAGGGAAAAAGGGGTGTACCGGTACATGAGGTTGTCTCATTAAAACCTTGTCATAAAAAGCCCCAAAACTGGAAAATCCCGTGAAGGAAAAAGCGTACCACACAACCCTATGTTTGTTGTTTGTTAAAAAAAAAACCACCATACATCACTCCTCCCTCATGTCAAAATGTCCGCAAAAATCCTTAAACCAAGGATTATCAGGACATATAAAGACAATGACATGATCCAAACTCAAAGATAATTATACATATACAAAAAATAAAACAAAAAAAAAATCGTATGAGTACAGCAGTTGGACGTCTAAGTGCCAGTTCTGCAATAATTTGGTGCCAAGGAATAGGACCTGTAATCTTTGCATGCACTTACTTTTTCTAGGTTCACAAAATTGATCAACTTCTCCTCAAAAAGTCAATCAAATTTGATGCCAGTTAACCATCCGTCCTAATTCACTTCATCCCATTTGCGTACGCCTCAGCATTGAAGAATTTGCAAAAGGATCACTTTCACCTTTAAATGCGAAAAGGACCATCCACACACCAAAGTACAATGTTTTCCTACGTTAAGTGGAATGGAAATTTTCTCAAAGCATGTGGTCCCTTGTAAAAGTACAGGCATTTGTAGGGTATAACATTAATCCAAAACCAAATCTATCATGTTGTACAGCTTTTTTTTCTTTTTTTTTTTGGCAGTAGTCTGTTCCCTAAAATCGCAGCAATTGCTCTGAGAAGTGTTACAAGGAAATTAGTTTGACCCAGAACAAAAACAATGACAATGATGTTACCAACAAAATACTCAGTCTAAGGAAAGGCAGATTAACAGCAATTCCATTCTAAATTTCTTTAAATTCTTCCCCAAAGGGAAAACCAAGAACGTTTATGTATCTACACAAATCACCAGAAAAACTTATAGCCTTAAAGGTAGTATTCACCCTTTATAGTTAGGGGTTAGGGGTTGCGGGTTAAGACTATTAGACGTTCAAAGTCGAACCGCACTTACAATGACCGCACAGAATACTCCCCATACATTATTTCTATCCAGTATACTTCATCATCTACATCAAAAACAGCTGCTGACACTCATTTATAACAGGGGATGCTGTAACTGCTGTGATGCAGCAGCTGCAACTATAGAAGTAATGACATGAAGTTTCGAGTGCACGATTCTTTAAGAGTTTCACCGACACAGAAAATATGCATATGAAGAAACAATTAGTTAGGCTCGTTAGAATCAGTTAGGATTGCTATCTGAAGCCAGAATGCAAGGCAATGAGTTTATATCTAAGCAGTACTTAAACTTCATGGAGTCTCTACCCTCTGCTCTATAGCCTCGGTTAATTTAATTTTAGTCTTCTTGTTTGTCTGTCAACCTCTGCATTCTTTTACATATTGAACAGCACACAGCAACTACCATAGCAAAAGAACAATCACAAAAGTTTTCTTCATTACAATATCATAGAACTCTAGTGTTAAAAAAAGGAAAAAAGATTGCAGTTCAGTTCTGTTCATCTACACCCAAGACGATTCAGCTAATCAGCTACCTTGATCAGACATGCACCAACAGAATTTACATGTGCATGCATCCAGTATAACGAGACAACAAAAGGCTCCATAGAATGGTTGAAAAAGCTTTAATGGCATCACATTACTGATTACAAATCAACTACAAAATCTACAAACGCAGTCAGTTCAATTACTTCAGAAGACAACAACATCTACAAAGCAACAATTACATTCTACCCCAAGATCAACAACAACAAAAGTAAAGACCATAAAGAGAGTACCTTCCGCGTTTTCCAAACTGAGCAGCTTCAGAAAACCAACCTAAAAATTACAAAGAGTCATCTGCCTTAAACCACCAAATCAAATAACCTTCCTGGGCCGTCCCCTCTTCTTCTGATTAGTCCCCAAATCCGGGTTCCCATCCGAAACATCCATCACTCCGCCCGAATTGGCCACCACGGGTACCGCCGTGGCAGCCACCGGAGTTTTACTCTGCTGCGGCGTCGTCGAAAAGACAGGTGGCATCCAATTGGGAAAGGTGGCTGCGGCCGGTGCCGGGGCCGCCTTACCCTTCCCGCTATTGGCGTGGGTCCCGCCCACAAATCCCATCGGAAAAAACGCCCAACAGCAGTAGTAGGCCTCCTGGCCTTGCACCAATGGCGGCAAATTCGGCACAACCACCGCCTCAAACCCGCGCTTACAATTCTGGCACCTCAAACAGCAATTCTCGTAAACCCTAGGGTACTCGTACAGCACATAGCAGTACATAAAGAGAGTACCTTCCGCGTTTTCCAAACTGAGCAGCTTCAGAAAACCAACCTAAAAATTACAAAGAGTCATCTGCCTTAAACCACCAAATCAAATAACCTTCCTGGGCCG